AGATGCTATTTTGTCACGGAGCCGTTATAACTTTCAAGGCAAGCCAGGCCTCTTCCAACTCATGTTTTGGGTAGGATTTCCGATAAGCCTATTATTACAACCAACTTCGGTACTTATTTTGCATCTAGATATATTGACCTTAGGCCACTGAGGATGAGTAGTTATTATTCAAGAGGAGCCGAAAGCTTTGAAACATAAAAAATGAGTAACCTAATGGTTTATAATGATTAATACATGTTTTCCTAAACAAACAGAGCAACATTTACCCTGTGACCAGCTGATACACCTATCCATGAGTCGGTTTCGAATCCCATTGAGGGTACAGACGAGAACTAGGCGAGTTTCATACCGCAGTCCACGCTGGATGAATAAAACTTCTTGGAGCTAAGGCCAAGTAAAATTTAGTCGTCCCCCCATTATACTATTTAGAATTTCTTTTTCGATCCTTAGAATACTTTAGGCGAATTAGAGTGATTAAATATGCTCGAAGAAAAGTTAGGTTTTGAAGAATCCCTTGGTGCTTTATTGTGAAAAGACTTTTCATTTCGAAAGAAAAGTTGGTAGGAAGGATTTTGTGAATTGGACTCATCTGAAATGGAGAAAGAATTGTCTTGGAGTGAAGTCGGTTGGATTGCTTGAAGGAGAGTGGTCAGTTCAGCATCCTACTATCTCAAGAATGATGAATGGTTCATTTGGATCGCAGGAACCTGAACCGAGAACTTCTTCGCACAATTCACCCCTCTTCACTAAAGCTAATACTTTCTCAAGTTCGAATAAGGCCAATTCACAGATTCATTTTGACCGAATATTCTTTCAAAATGAAAGATTTTGACACAATAAAACACCTAGGGATTCTTCAGAACACAGCTTTTATTCACATGTATTTAATCATTCTAATTCGTCCAAAGTAGGTTAAGCATCGAAAATGAAATTGTCCCCATTAAAATGGGTGGAATATCGAATTTTATTTAACCCTACCTAACAGAAGTTTTACTCATCATTAGCCTCGACTGCGGTCTCTAAATCACGTAGGTCTCATCAGCCTCCTCAACGTGACTTGAGACTGAGTCGGTTTGCGATAGAATCAATTCCCGAATTTCTTCCAACCAACTTACCATTCAGGATGAAAGGTCTATTCATGATAGCGTGACTAAAATTTTAATTATAGAATTACTATTTTCTACAAATAATACTCGCCTACAAGATAAGATGTGCTAATTTACTTAAAGGTGAATCGGGCTGTTTAGCGTTGGGCTTGAGAGCGTAGCAGAAACATTAGATGCTGAAGCAGTCCGGTCTGTTGGGTCGGTGTTCAACGCTTCTCGGAAGAAGCAGTTGCTAAGACAAGTGTCGCAGGGAGAAGAGCCCGCTTGGTTAGGTCACCATTAACTCTATGAACAGAGTGTGCCAGCGACTGTCTATCCAACAGTACTGAAGA